TTATCAGCAGTAACATTGGTGAGGTGGCATGTATTCTATTGACAGGACTCTGTGGTCTACCGGAGGCCTTGTCACCGGTCCAGCTGCTGTGGGTAAATCTCGTGACGGACGGTCTTCCGGCTACCGCTCTCGGCTTCAATGCCCCCGATGAGGACATCATGCAACAACCCCCACGACATGTGGATGAGCCCATTGTGAATGGGTGGATGTTCCTACGCTACATGGTGATTGGTGTCTACGTTGGCCTTGCCACCATCGGCGGGTTCTTGTGGTGGTTCCTCAGCCACGGCTTTAACTGGAAGGATCTCACCACCTACGCGGCCTGCACAGACATGCAGGATGCAAAGTGTGCCATCCTCGCTGACCCGGAGACGGCGCGTGCCATCGCGTTGTCGATTCTCGTCCTGGTGGAGATGTTGAATGCCCTGAACGCACTGAGTGAGAATGCCTCCCTTATCACAGCACGGCCGTCCAGCAACATTTGGCTGCTGCTCGCCATCTTTTCTTCGCTTGCGTTGCACCTGATGATTATGTACGTACCATTTCTGGCGGCTCTTTTTAACATCGCCCCCCTCGGCGTTGACCCTCTCATTGTGAAGGAGGCACAACCATTTAGTGTTTTGGTGCCGTCTAACTTTGATGATTGGAAGGCGGTGGTTGTCTTTAGCGTGCCGGTGATTTTTATCGACGAGCTGCTCAAATACATCACGCGGCACATGCAAGCAAGTCGGAATAAAAAAAACAACTGACGAATAAAATAAAATAAAATAAAATAAATAAATAAATAAAGAGAAAATCAAACAACTGCAACAAAAAAGAAAAGAAAAAAAAAAACCAACGATGACGGTGATACATACATACATAAACACACATTAGACAAATAATAAACACAAAACCCAAAAACCCAAAAAACAAAAACAAAAACAAGAAGGAATGGCGCAGAAAAAACAAACAGAAGGAAGATGAGGGGTACAAAAAAAAAAAAAAAAAAAATTTAAGTGAAAATGCAGATTGCCCTTTTCTTTTCTTTCCTTTTTGTTGGTTCCTTGCAATAGAAGCGAAGTACATGGTCGTATGAATATACATTCATATATTTATTTATTACAACTGTCGTGCTGTTGTTGTTGTTGTTTTCCCCCCCTCACAACCACACATTTTCTGTGATTTTTTTTGTTTGTTTGTCTGTTTGTTGTTTTGTTTTGTTTTGTTTCTTTCTTGTGTGTGAGTGTGCGTGACCTTCTCGGGTGTGGCTCTTGTTATGCACACCCATAATCAAACTGACTTTGCACACATACAATGGTGTACCGCATTTTTTTTCTTTTCTTTTCCTTTTCGATTTGGCTTGGAGTGCGTCGGCCCCATCACTCGCACTCGCTACGTACATATGGATACATTCAGACTGGGTATATTAATATGTATGGATGTATACATTGAAATATTCACTGAAGGATAAGGAATTGGAGGGACGTCATGAAAAGGAAGAAAAGAAAGAAAAGAAAAACAAACAAGAGAATGAACACTGATAATAATATCAACATTAATAAATAAATAAATAAATAAATAATGCGGTTGGGTATGGATTGGAGTTTCTGTCTGTATTGAGGTGAAGGTGATCTGTTCTTATGTTTTATGCCTTAGAGAGAGAGAGTGAGAGGGGTGCCTCTGTGTGTGCCTGTGCCTGTGCCTCTGTGTGTGCCTCTGTGTGTGCCTGTGCCTCTGTGTGTGCCTGTGCCTCTGTGTGTGCCTGTGCCTCTGTGTGTGCTTGTGCCTCTGTGTGTGCCTCTGTGTGTGTGTTTAAACTGGTGAGAGGGTAGTTATTTAAAAAAGGAGCGCATCAAAGAAGTAGCTAATATATACGTGTATGGTAAAAGGGATAGGTATTCATTATGGGCTAATAAAGAAACAAAGAAATCAAACCAAAAAGAAAAAAGTACATATAAATATATATTTATTTATTTATGCATACGCAGTTCTCATGTATTCATTATGGGCATTTTTTCCCCCTGGAAAAACGAAAAAAAAGGAGGGGAGAGAGAGAGAGTGTGTGTGTGTGTGTAGGTGGGTGGGTGGGCAGGCATTTGCCCGGCGAAAGCGACATGAATACAAGCAAATAGGGAAAAAAAATAAAAAATAAAAAATAAAAAATAAATAAAAAGGAAAAGGAGGAGGAGAAGAGGAAGGAGTCATTAACGAGCACTTGCGATCTCATCATACCCATAAATTTATTTATTTATTTATTTGTATTTGTCCATGTAGAAGTTGGGAGGGAGTCGTCTGTATTTGTATGTATTGGGCGTGTGCATGTGTTTTCTTTCCTTTTCTTTTTTCTTTTTTTTTTTCGGTAGGGAGTTTTTGCCGGTCGTTATTTAAACCTGTGGTCACGTGCCACGGAGTTTTATGTCCTCTTCTCTTCTCTTTTGACGGAAGTTGGGGCGATGTGTTTTGTGGTGGTGGTTGTGTGTGTGTGTGTGTGTGTGTTTCTTCTTTATAGAATTTATTTTTTCTTCTTTTTTTCCTCCGCCCTTCTTTTCTCTTTTTTCTTTTTTCTTTTTTATTGTGACGATCACCAGCGCTGCTTTGAATTATTTATTTTCTTTTTCCTTTTCCTTCTTTCCCCCCTTTCCACACCCCACGCCTCCCTTGTTGGTTGGTGATTGCTGATGGACCCTCCTCCTGTGTCCTCTCACACCCCGTCCAATTCGGTCGGAATGCACACACAAACACAGAGGGATAACATCTAAGAAGAGCATAGTCGAGGAGAAGCGTTTGAGAAGTCACCTTTATTACTATATCTATATATATATAGATAGATAGATATATTGTTTAATTATTATTTTAAACCACACGGAAATTACAGTGTAAGGCAGTGGGAAAAAACGATGAGCGCATTTTCGAATTCGCCGGTGTACAAGCAAATTCTCCGGCCCCTTCGTAGCAATTCCATGCTTGGGCTGTGTGTCATGACGGGATGTATGAGTGTATTTGTGTACTGGTGGTACGCTCGAAGTATTCGAGCCACATTGCGTCAAACACAAGAAAGCTGTCAAATTACAGCGGACAATGCTTTTGCACAGAGCAGGCAATTGTTGAAAAGCCTAGGGGATGACTGGGCACAAGATATGAAGTCGCGTGATGACTCCGTGCGGCGACTGGAGCTGCAAAACGTGGAACAGACACGCAGCATCGCCCGACTGGATGCGGCAATGAAAATGTGCATTGCACCAGGTCCAGAAATATCACAATGAAAGAAAATCCTTCTGTTTTTTTTTTTTTGTTTGTTGTTGTTTTACTGAGGTTTGGGGTGAATGTATTTATATACGGCTGTGTGTTCCCTTTGTAAGTGCGAATAACTCTTTTTTCCCCCATGATGTTGTTTTAATTCTTTTCTTTCTGTGTGTCTGTGCGCTATACAATTGTTTTTTTTGTGCTTGGTTGTTGTTGGTTGGCTTTTTTTTTTTGGCAGGCCGGGGAGGGAAAGGCAAGTATAAATTACAGTATTAACGGGAATCACACACACACACATACATACATCTATATATATATATTTATATTGGGTGCATGCCAAAAAAAGATAGAGATGTCTGGGACCCGCCGGAGGATCGCAAGATGGTTGAGGAGGCGCCATCTGCTTTCATGCAACACTTTCAGGACCGTGCGGTGCGAGTTGGAAAGGATGGCAGTAATGCACAGTTGGTTCGGGTAAAGAAGACGAAGCCAATACAATGGTCAGATGGGAACAATAGGAATAAGGAGGGTAGGGGATCGATACCTGGCCCCTTGGGGGATGAAACAAGTATGCATAAATGGAAACCTATGATGCTGAAGTTACCGTTAAGGAATAGAAGTCATGTGAGGGGAATTGTGGCACCGGACGAGCCAAAAGCGATTATGCCTCCACGACGACTACAAGCCATCAACCACACAATTTGCGTAGAGAGTGGCAATGGATTAGGAAGACATACAAGACCTTTTTTCGATGCCCATGTTGTGAATCGCATGGATGCACATGACGCACCAAATCCTGCCATGGCGATATCACCAGACTGTCGCATAGAAAATATGCGTCAGACGGTAGCTGCGGCCACAGTTATGTCGCCACGTCTAGAACTATCCGATGTGACATCCATCTCCGTGGATAAAAGTCAATCACCAGAAGTCCTCTCCGTCGAGTGCGTCGATGTCTCACAGCCGGTGAAACCAATACCCTTTTCACGGCCTTTGTCCGATACAATGGGATTAGTGGATGCAGGAGAAGGCCTTCGAAAATCTTTGGCACGCCTTCCCCCACGCAAGATTAGTGGAAGCAGCGGTGCGGACGAAGCAACAATGATGCCTAGACCGAAAAATACGGCCGTATCCCCGCCACTTCCATTGGAGCGGAATGAAAAGAAAAATAAAAAAGAAGACCGAAACGACGTACTGTCAAGGGAGGATGAAGTGGACGACTTTTCCGTTCAATTTGAGGATGACAACAGTGAGCTTAGAGCCTGTGATTCCACTGATATTCCCATTTACCAGCCCGTCGGTTTTTTAATGCGTCCTCGACCCGGTGCTGTAAAAGGCGAGAATAAAACGTCCATCATTGCAGCGAAGAAACGCAACCCCAGTACTGGCACGAGGAGGCCAGAAAGTGAAAATGGTGCCTGCGGCACCCGCCAAGACTACCATCTTTGTACACATCGAAAAAAGGGTTCTTCAACAGGCATTCAGGAGTTTGCAACTTCTGCGCCTGTCAAAACGAGTGGGATAAACTCTCATCCAAGCAGACTCCAACCGTTGTGTTTGCCCTTGCCACCGCGCACGTCCACTGTGTCTGTTACCAGCAGCGGTGCACTGACGGAAACGAAAGAGTCTGAACAGGAAGAAGAGAAGAAAAAAAACCCTGCGTACAAATCTTACAATTTGAAAGACTACAAATTGATGATGGAACAGGTGACGCATCTTAAATTAGGAGGTCTGGGGCCTGCTGACACGGACGAACAACGTCAAGCGAAGGAAAAGATGCACCGTCAGTGTCAATACGGCAAGTTGGTGGAGAAGAAAGCCGTAGAAAGGATACGTGAAAAGCAGCAGCGGCGTATTATTCAAAAACTAAAGTTGGGAGAAGGAGGCGACGCCGATGTCGTTTTAACTGGGACACCAAATAAAATGCCGCAACAACCACCTCCCCCAGAACGCATTCAGGCAAAAGAACGAAGGTCACGTGCCCTGGACTACGCCCGAAATCTCCCGCGACCAGAACTGCCTGCTTCACGCAAGCCGCGTGACGAGAATAGCATTTCAACCTTGGAGTCTTGCACCCCACAATGGCGCTCACAGCAAGATGAGGCAGCATGGCGTCGCGAACAGCGCCTGAAGGAACTTGAGGCGAGGCATCGTATTGACCGAGAACGTGTAGCGGCCGTCAAGCGACAACTGGGGTATTGAGCTCACAATTGTTTTTTTTTTTGTTGTTGTTGTTTTTCTCCATCCTTTTGGGCTTACTTCATCCAATATATATGTATGTGGACGTATTCTTGAATCTTCCTTTATGTGTATCATTTTTGATTTGTAGTAGCGTCTGTTTTGTTTACTTTTGCTTCTTTATCTGTTTTATTAGTGGCCAGACGAGGGCGAAACCAAATGGGGTGAGATGCACTGTATTGAATTCAACGGATCAAGGATCCCGTCGGAATTAACTTATTTCTTCTTCTGCCACCGGGATCTTTGTCTCACAGTGTCCCATATTGTAGTTTTATGTGTTAACTTGTTCCGGGATCTTGGTTGAGTTTATTTGGGTCGCAGTTTAAACGTCGGAAGAAAAGAGCTTTTGTTCTTGTCTTTTCTCTCGTGTTCTTCTAAAAAAATTGATTGCCGGCACTTAGTACGGTAACACGTGCCCCCAGATCTCATGGTGTTGCAACCGTGTCCCAGCAAGACGCGGCTGGCCCGTGCGCTGGTTGATGCCGTCAGCCCTGCACCAACAACAATCCCGTGATGGACGGACGCATCGCTGACTGCGGGCTTCCCCCGAGAATACGGAGCAATTGGCCCTGGCACCACGGCGAGGTGGCCGGCATCGCGAAGGGAGCGGTCTCCCGTTGGACTCTTCGCTTTTTCTTGGAGGACTTTGGTCGCGCGCTGCCCTGTCGGCCCACACTCCTGCGGTGTGGAGGTGGCTGGCTGTGGTTCCTCCAGTCCGACATGCCGGGCAATTGACCGTGATACGCGCAATGCCCACTTTCGCATGTGTTTCCCGCCGCCTTCTCCGGGTCAGGCACTTTGCCCCCTGCAAGAATACCGCTGGCACTGTGGGGCGCCTTACGATGCATTGGCGCCACAGCGGCGGCGACACAACTGCGCAGTGCAGGCTGGGACCCGGAGCACTGCACCGCGGAATGGTTGGCTTCTGGCTTCCCGCAGAGTCCCACCCGCGTCCTTCGGTACTTGAACCCAGTGCCACGATGAGGCAGCCAAAAATAAATTTCAAAAAGGTGTTTTTGTTTTTAATGTTTGGTATATATGTACTCAGAGGCTATTTCACTTTATTTCTGACTCTTGCTCACTTTGTGAATGGGGTTTTTCGGTGGTGAACTTCTTCTTTGCTGTGATGAGATAAGCAGGGGGTATTTGTATTTCATTTAATTTTTTTTTTTCTTTTCTTTCTCATCTATTTTTTTTGTTTGTTTGTTTGTTTGCTCTTTTTTGCGTTTTTAATGATATGTATGTGGCGCTGTTTAGTGTTTATTGTGTATTGTAGCAGCGAGGCCATGAAAAAGCCTGTTTCAACGACGGAGCCTTCGAGGTCATTAGAGGGTGTCTCCTCGATCCTTTGCATGGCAAACAAGTGTGGCTCCACTGATATGATGGAGCGTTACCGCAATCAACTGGTGGATCGTGTATTAGCGCTTACCTCGTGTATTATTGAAAGAATAACTACTGCGTTGAATACTGACGTGACGTCAAAGGCGACACCAAGGATAGGACGATACAAGGATATGAATACTGTCATCTCTGGGAGAACTCCAGATTATGGTAAGCGTACCTTTGTTGCCGACCGTATTTACGATAAACGTAATGGTAGGTTACATCGTGGGATAGGTCCCACACGAGAAAGGGCATTTACAATGCCCGTTATTTGCACGACATTGCCTGAAGTGATGCCTCCAATGAACATGAGCACTAATTCGGTAATGACAATTAACATCAGTGATTCTCGATCCAAGTTGAATATCACGTCTTCAGAGTTGCCACTTTTTACCCCCATTAAACAAATTTT